TGGGTAACTCGGTTGACCCGATTCATGACCCGGGTCAATATCTGACCCGAATCTTATTGACTCGAGCCAAAATTTCTAACCCGAGTAACATCTCTAGTTGGGGTAGTAGTAGTGTTTGTAGTTAATCCAAATTTATCAACCAGACTAAGTTGATATTTAAAAATTAGCTTAGCTGGCTAAATTGTAATTGATTATTTTAATTGGCTTATTAAAAGCATATGATTTAAAATAGATTTGAATCTAATGTATCAGTATATACTAGTGTTTATTATTTATTAACTTGACTAAGTTAATATTTAAAACTTGGCTTTACTAGCTAAGTCGAAGTCGATTATCTTGTTACAAGGCTGTAGCCTTCTTAGTAAAATACAACCAAGTAACAAAGTCACCTAGTATAGTGATTAATTATTGCAAATATATTTGAGGTAGAGATGTAGTTGTTCACTTAACTATACAATAGCAGACAAATATTTAAGATAGTAACAGTATATAGAATAATTTTATTTAATACAAAAATAATGATAAGCCTTACCTACAGGAATTACTCTAAAGGAGAAATATCATACTTTACAAAATAAGAAGAATTAAAGGTTATCAGAGTCTAATTAAAGTGTAGAAACTTAAGATTTGATAGGAAAAGAAAAAGATATTCTTTTTTATCCAAGACAAAGATACATAATATACAGTAAAGAAGTAATACTTAGTAGAAAAAGTTGGGGGATTATGCTAGAGAAAATTGGGAGATTATACTGAAAGAAGTTGGAAAAATATAAATATTACTTATTTTGTTTATATTTTATTTACTATTTGTGAGGAGGAGCTTAAAGAAAAGAAACCTGGTGAATTCTGTAACACAGTACTAGGCTTACAATATAATAACTTGTGTTTAAAACACTTGAGTTTATATAGAGAAATCTGAAGAATTTCATATATATAGGAGAATTTAAGAGAAATTATATTACTTTATTGTATTATCTTTTTGTATAATCTAAAGTACTTCTTTGTATAACATTAGAAAATTTTTAAATAGAGTAGATATCAATTACCAGTAGCAAGAGTGATTACTATTGATTAGAACAATCGATATTAATCAATATTAGTTGCTAATCAATACACAATAGATTAAAAAGCAATTGATTATAATTTTATTTTTATTTTTTTTTTAATATTAAGGTAACTACTTGGGTCTAACACGGTTTATTAACTTCTCAGTTCAATTATTGGAATACCGAATAGATACCCCTTGACTTTGTTACATCAATGAGAGTACAATTAGTTACACGTACAACTTTAATCATTGTCTAATTAAGGGCTTCGCTATATATCATCGTTTGATTTCAACATTGACCTTTTAGTATTCGTATTGTAACCGGGGTCACTTCTTATGAAACATCTGAACGAGCGTAATTGAGAGATGCATCGGAACTAGAGCTTTTTGAGAAGATTCACCAGAGTTTGTATTTTGTTTATAGCGGAAATTTTCAGATTCATTATGTATCATTGTGGTGTTGACTCTAGATCACCATGCAGCGTTGTTACGATTTGGATCACTACTACGAGATACTTCAGAACAACTATCTAATTGATTCCATAAGAATCATTATTTTGTACTAGAGTTGTTGGTGAAACTAATTAATTTCACTAGCAAACTAGTACACCAGATGGTACACTATTGGTGAACTATTAAAGATTAGTTTTATCCATAGCTCTAGTTTACTATCGGTGCACCAGTTTTGGTGTACCAACCTGGTGCACCATCGGTGCACTATTAAAGATTAGTTTCACCAACAACTCTATTCTGTATATTGGATATGCAATTGAAAACAATCAATAAAGATTCAATTTAAGGTTTCAAATAAAGTACACATACATATGTACGTAAATATAAAATTTTTATCTTGAATGCATGTCTAGTATGTTTGGTGTGTTTGATCTGTATGAAAATTTATGGCGAAGATTGTTCTTGCCAACCAATACAACCAATAGATCTTAACAAAAAAATACAGGTATAAAAAGGTTCCAAATATAAGTTCTATAACAAATACATTACATGAGCAGATGCTAATAAAAAAAAGGTTTGACATGAACAAGAATTTATTAACTGGATTAAAAAAATATAACGCAAGTGATAATTACAAACAACTCAAGATTTTATTAATATTTATCGAAGCTGCATTGAGAAAATCAAAGTAAAAATCTATATGATTTCATTTGCATAAATCAGCTGAAAATATTGAACCAGTTGATCGAATGACTAAGGAATCTTGAGCTTGTTTATCTATAGTAAATATTTTAAAAACTTGAAGTAGTACAGTTGAATCTGATAGTAAAATATTCAACTTGTCTGAAACAACTGAATCTATCCAACTTATCTAAAACAAATTACGAATATGCTCTGAAATTGTTATTTAGAAAGATAAAATAGTATTATCGCATATACATTATCACAACGTCATTTAGCAAAGATATATATCATTATGTAATCAATCATTACCAGAATCCAGACTTATCGAATCAGCAAAATAATCATTTTGTTAGTGCGCAGAAGATAATTTCATAGATAAAACGTAAACTATACAGGATTTTTTAGTTTGTTTTGATTTTTCATGTTTTTTTTTTATAACACCTGATTTTGAAATCAATTTGGCTCAGAAAATTTTTTAGAGTAGTGATACTAGAATGGTTCTCCCTAATACTTTGGATGATTCGGATAATCCGTTTCAGATATCTAATATAAATAGATGGATATCTGGTTATGTTAATGTGGTAAATGGATAATGGATTTATCCAGATTGAAACTCTAGATCTAACCACCATGGAATACTCATCAGATCTCTCACAATATTTTGACGACCTGAACCCTGGATTCGATTAGAGACCTTTTTAGGATAGTTAAGCCAAATTTTTTGACTTATTTTTGATGATTCAGCAATTGTATTATCTTCTGGGTCACTATTGTCATCACCTGGCATAGACCAGTAGCTTTTAATGATTTCTTTAATAGGACATTTTTTTATAGTAATCCATAACTTCAAGTCACAATAATACTTGATGCAGTTATCCGAAAGTGAATACAATTTGTCTCCATACCAGCATTGCACAAGAGGGTCTTTCCAGTCACAAGATAAGTGTTTTCCTTTTGTTTTCTGACCTAATCAGTCACTGATATATTCAATATAATACCAGGTATATTTCTGGTTATCATATTTAATCCAATCCTCAGTAAATTTGATATTCTGATAAGGTCAAATATTCGCAACAATATGCGCAGGTAGATCTAGCTTCAAGGTTCATACTACTTCCTGCCGATTTCTATCCATTCGAACATTGATTGGGTTCTCTATTTCTACTCGATATATTTGTATACAATCTTTTTTTGGTATGCTAGATAATCATGATAAAGTATTGGCATTACTATGCTTCTTACCTGGCTGATAAATAATGGTAAAATTATATGGTTCTAGTCTAAGGATCCATCTAGCATGTTTGCCCTTTAATTCCGAAGTTCGCAGCCATTGTAATGATGAATGGTTTGTTACAAGATAAAACAGTTTCGACCCCAAATACTAATAAAAATGTTCTACTGCCCAAATGACAGCAAGACATTCCAACTCAGGTATGGAATAATTTTGTTCTGCTTTATTTAGACTATAGCTTGCATATACGATAACATATTCTTTGTTATTATCATCTAGTTGAGCTAATACAGCTCCTAATCTGAGTATAGAAGCATCCGTATGCAGATAAAAAGGTTTACCAAAATCAAGATATTGTAAAACCAGAGCCGTTATTAGGTGAGTCTTTAGAATTTGGAATGCTTCCTCTTGTGTTTTAGTCCAACAATAAGGTTCATCCTTCTTTAACAGTAGTGTTACAGTACTGTAGCCTTCTTAACAGCAGTACTATAACAATGACACAGCTATAGAGATCTTTTACAGGTTTATAGCGATATCCAACAAGTAAGTATAATTTCTACTACAACTAGAAACTATACCCTTCCATCTGTGGCAGTTCGGGCAGATAATAGTTTATAGATAAAATATATGTTTATTAGAGAAAATAAGATAGGCTATCCTTA